GACAACAAACATCAACGCTACACTAATTAAAGCCGCCAAAGAAATATATAAAAACTCTATATAAAAATAAAAATCAAAAACTCAGTCTCCAGCGGGTTCATGCCAAATAAAGGATTAAAGCAGGCTTGCTGTCTATCCCCAACGCTCTTCAAAATATTTTGAGAAAAGATGCTGCAACAATGGAAAAAGAAATTTAGCTATATGGGTATCCCATTAAACGACAATACCATCTATACCTTAAGTAACAGACTCATGTTAGGGCATTGTAGGTTTTCTCATCAATTTTTGCTTAAGGGCCAACCACCGCCTCTATGTGATAAATGTAGTAATCCTTTAACTGTCAAACATATCCTTAAGGAATGTAGTCAGTTAATTAACCTAAGAGAGGCCTGCAATTTTTCGTCAGACATGTCAGTTATTTTTTCTACAAGTGAGCAACCAAAACATTTTGATTTTCTGGAAAGATCGGGATATATATCTAAAATATAGGTATCTAAAAAGCTACATTTTGGTTTGGTTTTTGGTTTACAACCAATTACTAATTAAATTGTACATATTTTTTTTTATTGTTTTATTCTATGTTGTTTTGTACCATTTACTTTATTTTACAAAATCAATGTCTGTACTGTTAACATATACAATCTGTCTATAAACGTGTTGTTTAGTTTTTACTTTTTGTCAAATATTGTACCGAACTAAAGTAGCAGATGATACGCCGCTAAATAGCCTTTGATGCTGATGCGGCTTGAAAGCTAAAATTTCTTCTTCTTCTTCTATACCTTAAGTTTTGTAGACGACCAAGTAGTACTGGCGCAAGACTCCGACGATCTCGAGAACCAGAAAGCTAATCGAAGAATACAGCAAATGAGGATTGGAGGCAAACTTAGATAAGGCGGAATATATGGATTCCAAGAAAACCTCCCCCTTGAAAACGGTCAAAATATTAACGGCTGCATAAATTGTAAATACTTGTGGGCCAAAATTTCAAGGGATTCGTGATAAAGTCATTAGGGACAGAAACGCTCAGGGAAGAAAGGCAATCTCTATGTTAAACGGCGAAATGTGGGATGGTAGCATCTCTAAATCCAACGAACGTCATTTATACAGCACTATAGTTAAAAGCATCGTTTGCTATAGCAGCTAAAAGATAAGATACGGCTAAAAGATTAGGGTGCGCACGCGCTGGAAGCGACATAATGGATTTCTGGAGACGGTCCTCAGGTAAATCCAGAATATTAAGGTGTATGAATAACAGAATACTAGAAGGATGAACATGACGACAGAGAAGAGTGGAAGACATTGCGATGGACTAAGAAGGCTAAATAGAGTTAGATATTTCTACAGGGTGTTTCAAAAAACATCATGTGCCATCGCTCGTGGGGAGATTCCTGGCGTAAAAGTAAGGTTTATTTTTCATATCAACATAGGTCTGATTCTGCTTTGTTTTGTAGCTACAGGGTGTTAAAGTCTTAATTTTCTTCCAAGTACTTTTAGCGTTTCGAATGAAATTTTTAAAGGAAAAGTTACTAGAAATGCGACATATTTTAAAGCTAAAAATATATGAAAAATAAATCTTATTTTTACGTGAGGAATCTCCCCACGAGAGATGGCACATGTTTTTCAAAACACCCTGTATATCTCTGGATAGTTCTCAGTCAAAAAAACCTTTTAAAAATGGGCATGTTTGTGTTGGTGCGGACGATCGAAATCCGCCCTAAACGGAGGAAATTTTACAAGTAGACTAACTGGGGCATTACAATATTGTCGCAATTTATTTCTTCCCCGTTTTTCTGGCCCGGACAATGGAACTTCGGCAACGGAACGGAGAAATATTTGGGGTGCCGGCGATTTTGCCGTGGCATTAGCCGACGGCAGACCATGGAGAATGTCCTAATATTCGGACATAAATCACCGCCGGACGAACGGTTTTGTCCGGCAGGAAAAATTGCCCGAATGGAAGCGACACATTTCTTGGCCGAAATAATATAAATGATCCGTTTTTTTTCTTAAATTAAATAATTTCGTCAATCGTTTTAACATTTCTGGGTATTTGTGTGGAATGCTTAATGATAAATTGAATCGCTCCAATGCCTCATCATGTAGAGAGCTGATGTTATGTGATACCTTATTAGGAGAAACCTTATAACGTATACAGGGTGGTCCGAACTGTATTCCGGAAACTTCAGCAGAATATTCAGCAGATAAAAATAAATAAAAAAGTTTGTATACATGTATGTCCTAAAATGCTTAGTTTTGGAGATGCAGGGTAGAAGTAATTTTTATTTCGATATTTTTCCAAATCATTTCTGAAGTAACATCAATATTTGGATGAAACTTGGTGTCTTTGAGTTTTTTGCCATGAAAATTTTGATTTTTACGTCAATATGACTCCTAATTGTAGGGGGCGCCACCTACATTTGTTTTAACTGTTTTGAAGAGTGCTGTTGAAGTTTCTGAACTACTCAATGAAAAAATGTACGTTTCCTAATTTTTATGTAAAAAATGTTTCTTAGTAAAAATGGCTACGATCAACCGTTCTCGAGATATTTAAAATGGAAATAGTCAATACATGTCATTATTGAAAGAAAATAATCATGAGTAGATATTTATTTTGACTTAAATGATAAATTTGGGAGCCTTTTATTTTTTAAAATTATTCATAAATTTTTCTTCGAAAAAATGATAATAAAACAGTTTCTGTTAAACTTTTGGCACAATAACATTTCAAATTTATGATTTCGGTCTAATAAGACGAAAATAAAAGACGAAAAGTTATTACCTACTCTTCAAACCAGTTAAAACGCATGCAGGTGGCGCCCCTCTGCAAATAGGAGTCATATTGACATCAAAATCAAATTTCTCATGTCTAAAACCTCCCAGACACCAATTTTCATTGAAATAAAAATGAAACTTCTACACCCTGTATCTCGAAACTAAGAATTTTAGGACATACAAACATTTATACAAACTTTTTACTTACTTTTATTTGCAGAATATGCTGCCGAAGTCATCGTCATCTGAAAATATGGCTATTAAATTATGTTGATGTTGCGTCGACGACTATGCTGCAGTATTTTTCTTTTGGCGATACAAACATAACGGTTATTGAGTTGCTAAAGTTATCGTTTTTTTTTCCTTGGCTGGAGGAGGATGGAAAATTATATTTTTTTGTAAGATAGTCGCTCAAAAACAAGGGTTCAAAAATTAATTTGGCTCAAAAAACAAAGGACTCTAAGCCGTCAAAGGTGATATATTCTGAATCTACATAAAATTTCCTGCATCTGTCATTTTCATAATCTTATGACTATATTTACTATTTTTCTGAGACCTTTAAAAATTGTAAAAAATAAAATGGGTATTTTTTGGACTTTTTTCCATACATATAGTCATGTAAATTGGCGATTTTTGCCATGTCACTGATTTTATTTAAATTCTTGCTATTTGCTAACTAAAAGGCGTAGAATAAGAAAATATAGGCCGTTGTGGTCTTAGAGTAGTTGAAAAAATTAATTTTCTCGCAAAACCAAGGAATCCAAGGATTTAAACATGTGTATGTTACAGACCATATACAAAAGGGCTAACCCATATATAAAAGGACTGAAGATTTTAGTCCATATGTGTAAGCAGCTTGTTTTTTCACAAACGGAAATTTAAAAAACAAAAAAAAAAGAAAAAAATTAACCCATAAAGATACGGCCTAGGCTGTATACTTACGGTCTGTTTTCACATGTGGTTTGTAACATATACAGGGTGAGCCTTAAATAAGTGCAAATATTTTAAGGGGTAGTATATTTTGACCCCAGTAACACTATTATGAGTTTTTTTTGCGAAAAATTTTGGAAATTTTTTTTAGTTTGTAATTAAAAAACATAATTTTTTGATAGTATGGCAACATAGGTAATAGATTAAATTTATAAGGAAGAAAATCCGGAAAAAATCCAGTGGTTTTCAAAATTTGAGCAAAAAATCATTTTTTTGGGGGAATTTTCAAAGTAAAATAATTTGGTTATTTGAAAAACGGTAAAGAGAAAAACGTTTCTTTTATCGAGGTCTATACCAGCCCTGAAGATATTTGTACTTATTTAAGATTCACCCTGTATATTCTGAATCTATATAAAATTTCCTACAAATAGATTTATTTTCATAAATTTATGACTCTATTTTCTATTACTTCTCTATGTTTACTATTTTTTTAAAGACCTTTGAAAACGTGTAAAAAATGTTCAAAAAAATTGTTTTTTTTTTCATAAATATACTCACGAAAATTTGTAATCTTCATCTCATGTCACGGATTTTATTAAAACCATAAGATATTCTCCCGATAAACAACTTCAAACCGATTTGTTTTCTTAGAGATCCAAGATCCTTCAGGGTTAAAGGGCAAAAAGGGGGGATGCTTTAGGAAAAATATATAGACAAAAGGGCCGAAAGGGTGGGAAGAGACAGGGCGAAGATGTTGCGCGGCAACGGAAACATTGTAAAGTCAAATGCCGGCGGTAAATCTGCCGCCCCGCTGTTTTATTTGACGTCGCTGCGGCGGGAAAATTAAATTTCGGGGAAATCCCGCACCCGCAGACATTGAATTATCCGAACGACCTAAAAGGGGGGACCGAAAAAAATATACGTATCTTATTTTCTTGATTTCTCCCGAAAGAAACCAGCATAGAAACATCGAAAATAAAAAATCAGTTAAAAATCTTAGCATTATCTTAAGCAGAAATACTCATCAGGAAGCATATTGAGCAACGTGTCTGTCAAAATCAACTCTGGATTAAGGAAAAACATCATTTTTTTGGAAATTTTCAAAGTAAAATAACTCCTTTATTTTGGACTTATTTGAAAAACGATAAAGAGAAAATATGTTTCTTTTATCGAGATCTATCACCCCTTCAAATACTTGCACTTATTTCTGGGACACCCTGTATATACTATTCTATCAATTTTTTTTGTAAAGTTACTTATATTTTTTTCAGTCTAGAAGCACAGGCCAAGATCTTTATCAAAGTACCTAGACCTAAAACCACAAAGGGACTGCAGGATTGATCAACAAAATGTCTCTTAAACTTTCTTAACCTGTATCAAGGAACTCTTTGCTGCAGACTCTGCGAGATGGATCCTGAAACAGCTACATGTGAGTATAACTGTGAGGCTCTGAATCGCCAGAAAGTAGTGCTTGTCAATATGCATTCAACATAAAAAGAGAGCCATATTGCTTTTGCTATAGCCACTCCCTTAAGAACAGAGACAAAGACTCTTGTCTCAATAATTTACACGGCAGAGGGGTTAAAAATGGTCAGTTCATTTTCCGAATACGTACACCTACCAGTGTCGTTATCGCCAGGGAGATCTGTATGGACAAAATGTCCATTTCTCTCCCTCTTCAATGGCTATTTACTTTTCATATGTGCTCTAGTGGAGGAAAAAGGGGTGTTATTGTTTGCTAAATATGTCCGGTCAGTATTTTTTGTTTATAAGCTGGCACCGAGGGCGTTTCCAACTTCATTCTTGGTTTCTGTTTACTTTTTTTAGTTGGCAAATGACCACAGACAACTCAAGTGTTTGTCTTCTTCTGGTCGTTTGTGATTAGTCTATTAAACATTTGTAGACTGATTTTTGTTTCTTTCTGTACACCTGGATGGGTCTCAAAAGCGGCTCACCCCCTATACCTTTTTTATTTTTTCAGATAACAAAACGAGATTTATGACATTACGAGATGTTAGTATATGACATAAATTAGGATTGATTGACGTATTCAATTGATTTTGATCACTTCCTGTTTCACCGGAAATTACTACAACTTTTTTTAAATGACACCCCCGGTATTTTTTACTTTATTCGATAGAATATGACACTCTTAATATAATGACATATCATATGTCAACTTTTGACATTTTTGCATTTGGTTTATTTGAAATTGTAACATGTGGTTCGTAACGACAATTTGACTCGAAATACCAAGTGTGTGGAACCAAACTATTCGTAAAAAATGCTTTTTCCAAATATGCTAATGAGCCACCCTTGTTCCCTTTGAAAAAATTGAGATATGATTAAAAATACGATTTGGGCATCTTTTAACCGGCCAGGCCAAGACACGAAAAGCATTAAACGGTCAAATCTATTTTTTCAAAGCTTCTTGATTAAACATTTAAGTATTATTTAGTATTTTTAACACAATTATGACACTCTAGATTAAAATTTAAAACGATTTGTTTTTAAGCGAAATTTTCAAAAGTTAGCATATGATATCTCATTCTATTCAGAGTACTCATTTTCTATCGAATAAAGTAAAAAAATACCGAGGGTGCCGTATAAAAATCAAAAGTTGTAGTAACTTTCGGTGAAACAGGAAGTGACCGAAAAGAATTGAATATATATCAATCAATTCTAATTTATGTCATATTCTAACATACCAAATTTCGTTTTTTTATCTGAAAAAATAAAAAAGTTATAGGGGTGAGCCGCTTTTGAGACGCACTCGGTATGGTAATGTATACAGTGATAAAAAAGATAGACTTGAACTAAAGTCGTCATCGTTCTTGAAAAAAAAATTAGTGGCAAGTGAATTTATTTTAGCGTAAAAGAAAATATTTTGCCTGAAGAAAAACTCTCTTAACTCAAGAAAACTGGTTCTCTTGAAAAATTCGAAAATTTCTCTTGAATTTTTTTTCATTCAACCAAGTGCAAGTTACTTTGTTTTGAGATAATAAGAAAAATACGCCAGGAAGTACTTCATTCAGGAAACATGGTCATTTTTCCAATAGCTAAATACTCTTTTGATGAAAAAGAATAACAACACGCAAAGACGATGACGAAGGACGGTATATACAATCAGTCGGCAGCCCGATCAGTCGTACATCATAGTACGCACGGGTTTTGTTGCTTGGAATTTTTCACTTGGAATTTTGCATAATTTGATTTATAAACGCATATCGTATAACAAATTAGTGATCGTTATTAACATGCAATTGTCATTTTTTATGGACAAATTTTAGGATATATGGATTCTTTAAAGGAGTTTCTGAAAAAATAGAAATTAGAGCATTTATTTGCTATATTTGAAGGTATAGTCTGTAAAACGAATAACTTTGAATTTGACAGTTCCCGCGGGCTTTTCTAGTGTTAGTTTTATTAGGTTAGCAACTTGCGGGCCATGCTGATGCAATGCCAATAATTACAAAAATTTTAAAATTTCAAGTCGTATTAAAAATTCAAAATGTGACCAACCCTTATAATTTTAATAATTTATTTGCTTTACTTTGAAATCGTGATGTAACATTTCTTTTTAATTGTACAGTGATGAACCAATTCCAAAAAATACCAAGGAGAAGAAATAACTACTATCGAGGAAAATAATAACATTTCACTTTACTTACTACAGACCATACCTTTGACTAAAATTCTCTACAACTTGTATAAGTAATTTATCAATTATTTTTATTTATTTTTTATTTATCATTTTAAAGCCCTGAGACTGTATGATGAGTTATAATGTTTCATATTATGAATTGAGGACTTAATTAAATTTACCAGGTTTTCATATATTTTAATTTGGCAAATCCTGAGAAAATCAGCTCAACGCTAAGGAATCTTAAATTTTCGTTATTTTCAACATAACAAAACTCTCTTTACATAAGCTAGTTGTTTACCAACCGAGATTGTGCTTCTCTGAATAGCACCATCTCCTCTTACCCAAGAACTAATAAGTCGTACCTTATTGGGTCAAAAGCATCCTGCAACCAAACGAACTACCAGCTAATTATAACTTGAAGCCTTTGAAACTCACTTTCGCCATTTCGTATAATTGTTTCCGCCATTTTGTTTTCGATCGGCATCACGATTTTCCACTAACCAACCGCATTCCTCAAAGATGCCTTCCACTGTCTCCGTGCTTCATAGAAATAGAAAACCACCAATCGCAAAGATCGTTAATTGATACAGGTCGATAATTGGTCGATCTAATTTATTTAATTATATACTTGATTTCCAATAAGTGCAGCTTTGAACTTTTTTTAACTAATGAAGAATTATCGAAATGCTTGTTTAAGTATTTTTTTAAATTAGATGTCAAGATCAGTTTTTGATTTTATAATTAATGCGGAATTTACTGCCATTAATTTAAGTAGTTAATTAAATTATAGCAATTAAAATATTACTGTTATTACTGTTAGGAATATGTTAAAGAATTTACGACAATTACTGAACGACTAAGGCTTCATTCGGAATCTCGAAATTAGTGGAATAAACTAGTGGTTTCAATTATAATTTATAATTAAGAGTTTACGATCATTCACAGTGTCTTAATAAATACTTAAATTAAAATTAATAGAATACCCTAGCAAGAACTTGCGGTAGTCAAATGCAACCATAGACAAAAAAAATAATTAGCTTATAAAACAGTAAACCTTTAATTTCTAGCCACAATTTTTTTTGAGTGATGATAATCAAAGACCAAATTGACATTACTCGCTTTTTTTCAAGAATAATTAGTGGAAAAAGTTAAAAGTTTGTTAACTTTTTTTCTACTAATTGAAAATTACAAATTTTTTTTATTTTAAATTACTTACATTGAAATTAGAGGGAACAAACTATTTCGAGGCAAAAAAAAAAAACATTACTGGAAAGTTACGAGCGTAATTGATGAAAGAAGCTTCTGCTTTTCTGCTTAATTGAATATTCCTACCGCTAATTTTGACGTTGTGAATACTTACATTGAAATTAGGGGAACAAACTAATTTATTCCACTAATTTCTAAACCAAAGTGACATTACCAAAGGAATTTTGAAGTATAGTGAGTGGAAAAAAGTTACTTTTTCTGCTAATTGAAAATTACTACCTACCACTAATTTTGACGTTCTGAATGCTCATATTGAAATTAGAGGAACAAACTAATTTATTCCACTAATTTCCAGACCGAAGTGACATTACCGGAAAATTTGGAAGTATAATTAGTGGAAAGAGTTAAAAGTTTGTTAACTTTTCTGCTAATTGAAAATTACCACTTAATTTTGTTACGTTGTGAATGCTTACATTGAAATTAGGGTACAAACTAATTTATTCCACTGAATTTCGATACTAAAATGACATTACAGGAGAAGAGGAATTTTAAAGAGGTATAATTAGTGAAAATGTTAAAGTTTCTTAACTTTTTTTGCTAATTGAAAATTACTACCGCTAATTTTGACGTTCTGAATGCTTACATTGAAATTAAGAGGAACAAACTAGTTTGTTAATTTCTAGACCAAAGGTGACATTTACCGGAAGAAATTTTGAGTATAATTGGTGAAAAGAGTTTCTTAACTTTTTCTGCTGAGGTGAAAATTACTACCGCTAATTTTGACGATCTGAACGTAAGTCGATTCAAATTTTACATAAAAAAAAAAAACTAATTTATTCCACTAATTTTCTAGACCAAAGTGACATTACCGGAAAATTTTTGAGGTATAATTAGTGGAAAAGTTTTTTTTTTTTTTTTTTTTTTATTTATTTGAAAATTACTACCGCTAATTTTGACGTTGTGAATGCTTACATTGAGTGGGAGGTACAAACTAATTTATTCCCACTAATTTCGATACTAAAATGACATTTACGGAAAATTTTTAAATTTATAATTGGTGAAAGTATTTAAAGTTTCTTAACTTTTTTTATTATAATTATATGTTAATTGATAATTACTACCGCTAATTTTGACAGTCTGAATGCCCATTTGGAGAGGTGGGAACAGAGCTAATTTATTCACTAATTTCCTGAATAAGAAGTGACATTACCGGAAGGAATTTTGGGGAATTATAGTGTGAAAAAAGTTAGTTTCTTAACTTTTTCTGCTAATTGAAAATTACCACCGCTAATTTTGACGATCTGAATGCCTTACATTTAGAGTGGGAGAAACTATTTATTCCACTAATTTCTAGACCAAAGTGACATTACCGGAAGATTTTGAGAATTATAATTGGTGGAAAAAGGTTTCTTAACTTTTTCTGCTAATTGAAAATTACTATCGCTCATTTTGACGTTGTGAATGCTTACATTGCTTGAAATTAGGGTTACAAACTAATTTTATTCCACTAATTTCGATGCTAAAATGACGGTACAGGAGAAAATTTTAAGAGGGTATAATTACTGAAAGAGTTAAGG